GAAGGTTTTGAAGCCATAAAAAGGTTCATGATGAGACAAATTCGTTATCATGGAGGTCATGATCTTCAGATGGGCCTGGAAATGAATTATCCCAAAGTGAATCTAACAAAGCCAGACCTTGACAGACCAGGGATAGAAGACTTCCCAGAAGACCACATCTTTGACAACCCAGTCTCGGTCATCTATCTGAATCATGAAGGAAAGAAGCGGCTTTTGTTTGTCAGTGAAATAAACAAATATTGCGATGGGACACTAAAGATCATCAGAAATAGATTGCAATCAAAAAGGGAAGAACTCGTCAAGAAGTCAACAGAAGCTACAAAGGATGAACTCAGGGAGCTGGAAAGAACAGAAGATGTCCTAAAAACCATAAAGACACAACTTGAGAACAGAAATTCACTCAGGAGCTATGAGCACGCTCTAAACCTCAGAAAGAACTATTACAAAGCTCAGAAGTGAAGAAACCCAGCAAGACTGCACTTGACCACAAAGGGGGAGATTGTTAGAACTTTTATTGTGGGTCAAGTTTGTCTGTAATGTCTTGTTTAAATAAAGTAGACTAGTTATACCATTTATGGTATTAGATTAGTATTTATTATGTAGCAAATAAGGTAAAGGGAATAAGGCCCAAAAAGGCCTTGGCCCAACTTCCAAGGTTTACCTAAATCGGTAACCTGTACAGCGCCTATAAATACGCGCCTTGTGTACAGGTACCGATATCGATCAATACACATTAGCCTTACGCTGCCCAAATAGTTCTCGATATAATAGAAGAAGAATTTCTCTGTTCTCGATATTGCCTTATCATTATCAGATCTTCTTTTCTTCTGTTTAATCGATGAATACCATCTAGCTGATCGTTAGTCTGCTAAACTGGGACCAACATTATATAAGAAGAAGGTTATTCCTTTCCCTGTGGATACGAACTCTACTTCACCTATACTACGTATAAGTGTTAGTATTGAATTTACTTTGAGTGCACTCACGACAAAGTGCACGTCACTCACTCAAAAGTTATGAAGCATAAAGTCGTCTTCTCACAACTATTAATAAGTACTTCATACTTATTAATCGTTTATATATTTCGTTCTAGTTTATTCTTCATAACTAGATTTAATTTAATGACATGTATGATTATGTACTTGAATCCTTCAAGAATACCATCTTGAATCACCTTAGCCAAATCATCCATGATTATCCTTCATCAAAATATTAATAATTCTTTTACTCATTAATCATGCCATTTTCACATAACTTATACTCATTATAACTAATTACATATTTAACACTTTTAAACATTTCTATACATATTCACATACTAGATTACTCTAGTCATCTCATACATAGTCCATGTATGCATTTTTTTATACATTTGACAATAATATATTCATGATTAATCCACAAATAAATCTCTTATTCATTAATCATGTAATATTTCCATAATTCATATTCCCCATGACTAATCATGCATTTAATCCATTTAATCATTCCTCAAATCATGATAAGGATTTTATTTAGGTAATCCCACGTTTGACCCAAGAGTTACAAGACACGTAGTCGTCCACTCACCTTGAAATGACGCTAGCAAGCTTTTATCTTCTTTGTTTGAACTCCGGCGACTTTTGAATTTTCTGGCGAAAACTCCGGCGGCTCCGGCGACTTTCCGGCCACTCCTAGGTTCCTTGAGAAGTCTAGAATACCTTGGTAAAATTCCTAACAAGGTTTCACAACCAAAAGTGGTATAAACGTCAAAACCTTCCAAGAAGGTGTTTTCCGGTGAACCGGTCTTACTTCGGTCATAACTCCGTTTGTGGTTAAACTTAACCTTCGAAACCATCATTCTACACCTCTAAAAGTGTAGAACAAGATTAAGAGTCTATCATATGATTTATAAAATCATATGAGATTAAATGAAGAATGAAATGTTAATGAGACCATTACCTTAATTAAACAAGGTTTTTCTCTTCTTTTCTCACTCTTTCTTCTTCCTTGGATCTTCCTTGGTTTGAGCTTGCTTCAACAATGGAGGATGGTGAATTTTAGAGGCTCTTCTCTCTTTCTTTAATGTGTTGGCCGAAATAATGAGAGGGAAGGGATTGAGATGGTCCTTTTTGTCTCAAAACACAAATGGGTGATGGGAGAGGGCCCCTTTACCTATCAAACATGTCTCTCCCATCTCTTCATCTATCAATTAGTCTCATCCCAAGTTACATAGCTCACACATTGCTGCTTGAGCTCACAAAAACGTGGGTTGGCCCCCACTCATGTTGGAGGTCAACCCAAAATGTCCCGAAGTGTACAATTGGTCCCGAAAGTTGTATTTTCCGGACTGCTTTAATTAAATTTAATTTTATCGGGCCGAATAAAATATATATCATTCTTCCAATTAATATTGGCCTCTAGAATAAATATATATTATCCCAATTTAATTTCGTGGTCGCCGAAATTAATTTCGGGCTGTTATCTGTTTAATTACCTATACCGGTAATGGGACCTCGTTTGATCGAAAGGCCAACTTTATGGCTCACCATTTATTTATAACCTCATATAAATATTATCTAGACCAAGATGAATATAATATGTGGTCCGTAAATATCAGATGGTCGTCACCCACGTGTGGGCCCAACGTGTATTTTACTGTTCAAGTAACAGTAAAAATGAGAACGCGTCATCTCGTAAATTCATTAACAATTTCTCATGACTCAATATGTGTATTGATATTTTGTGACATTTTAATAAAATGTTACACATCTTTTTAAGTGATCCCAAATGTAAAAACAGATAAAATCTTATCTGTTTGTTCCCAAAATAAAATATCTTTAAGGTAGGGTCCTCCAAAAGTACCCTCTTTTAATATGCCAAGTTAATCAATATTATTCATCCCATTATTTTGGTTTCTTAGAATGTTTATATTTCTTCTGTTATAAATTCGTAGTCCTACGAATTATTGACAGTCCGATAATTAAGGACTCCCCACTATCGAATAGTGGCCCTGGCCCGCTCGGCCATCCAGTTGTCGCTCTTTATAACAATGGGGTCCACGACCCATTCCTACTATCATAATAGTATCGTTTTGGACAATAGTAATATTTTATAAACTTGAAATACCATGTGTGGTCCCACGTTTAAATTAATAACCCTTTATTAATTTAGGACAAAATTTTACTTTCTCATTTATTGAGACTACTCTTAGTCTCGATTTACCTTCTTTAACCAAGTACTTTACGAAAAAAAATTATCTGGGTAAAATTCGGGTCCGTCCGGTGTTACAGAACAAGTTCACCAAGCATGAAAAGTTCACAAAGGAACGAACTCTATCAAACTTTCTTTGAATTCAAAAGGACCAAACTCTAGTTTTGGACTATGCTGTAAAGGCCGGACAGGGACAAGGAAGCAGCCTACCAGTGGCGTGTACTTTGAATTTTGGTATTGAGTGTTCAAAAGTTTTACAATTGAAACTTTGAAGAAGAGGCGTTTACTTCGCTGCTAAAGTCACAGTTAGGTTAGTAAGACAAGTGAAGTAAACACGCACGCTGCTTAAAAAGCCGCTTACTAACCGAAATAGGTGCTTAAAGTGCCGCTTACTAAGCCTACCACACCCCCATGTATTAATTAAGCGGCACTTTAAGCTTTTTCAGTTTCCGAATTTACCCCTTGCCCTTACCCTATTGTTACCCCTGACCCACCTACCTACCGACCCCACCTTGACCCCAACCCCACCTACCCCACCCCTACCCTACACCTTCTATCCCGACCCCACCCTACCCTTACCCTTACCCCACCCCTACCCCCTACCTTACCTACCCCACCCCTACCCTACCTAACCGACCCCCACCCTACCCTTACCCCACCTACCTGACCCTACCCCATCCTACCTCTACCCGACCCCACCCTACCACTACCCTACCTACCAGACCCCACCCCTACCCTACCTACCAGACCACAAACCTACCCCACCCCTTACCCACCTACCCAACCCCACCCTACCCCTACCCTATCCGACCTCACCCTACCCCTACCCTGACCCTACCCCATACCCCGCCTGAACCCCACCCTACCTACCCGAACCCACCCTACCACTACCCCACCTACCCAACCCCACCCCTACCTTACCTACCCGACCCACCCTACCACTACCTGACCGCAGTCACCCCACCATACTCTTACCCCACCTACCCCATCCCACCATATACCCCGACCCCACCCTTTACCCCCACCCTATACCTAGGGTGGTGGGGTCGGGGTGGTGGGGTCGGGGTGGGGCCAATGTGATAGAGGCGTTAGGGGCAGAGTAGGTGCGGTGGGGTCGGGGGTAGGGTTGCGGCAGAGTGGGGTCGGGTAGGGTAGGGGTAGGGTGGGATTGGGTAGGGTAGTGGTAATCGGGGTAAGGTAGGGTAGGGGTAGGGGCGGGGTTGGGGTAAGGTAGGGTAAGGTGGGGTCAGGGTGGGGTCGATGCGGTAAGGGGGTATGGGGGTAGGGGCCTATGGGGTTGGGGGGTAGGGTCGCGGTAGGGTGGGATCGGGTAGGGGTAGGGTCGGGTAGGTAGGGTAGGGGTAGGGGGTAGGTGGGGTCAGAGTAAGGTAGGGTGGGTAAGGGGTTAGGGGGTATGGGTACACATTTATATTATATACTTGTGTTCATGAATGTTTGTGTGTGTATATATGTATAGGATTATTTTGGACATTTTAATGTTAAGCGGTGTTTTAAACCGTTTGAAGTAAACACAGTCTTACAACATTGTTTATTTTATGCACCGCTTATTAACACGGGTCTTAATAAGCATCGTTTAATAACCGGTGAAGTAAACGCCTCCTAAATAAATATATTAATTTTTTGGTATAAATAGTGACATGCATTGTTTTAAGAGTTTTAATGTGGGTAGTACTGCGGCCTACCCACATAACCAGGTCACGGGTGATCAACTTGGATCCAGTGGGTCAATCTAGTCAATGCCATGAAACCGGTCAACATTTATATACTCCCTCCGTCTCATAATAAAATTCCCCACATTAATCTCAATTATTCATTAACATTGTTTATGTTTTGAATTGATAAACAAAAAATATATGTAGTCCTATTTTCAAACACTGATCATTAAGGCATCCTATTTTTCACCTTATTACTCTTATCATTCATTTTTACCAAACAGTAGATGAATATTGTAGCTATATTTATATAAGGAGTATAACCTTTTCAATTTTATGAATCATAAAATGCAGCAAACTCCTAGAATTGAAATTCAAAAAAACTAATACGAAAACAATTAATTTAAGAATTGAACTAAAGTAGCAGGCGCCGTGGCGGCCGTGGCGGATCGAGTTCTGAAGCGGTCGTGACGTAGGAAAAAGGTGGTGGCGCCGCATATGCCGGAGCATCCTGGCGACGGGTTCCAAGGGGCTGCGGAGATTGGTACCATGTCCCCGGTATCACTCTTGATGATTGCTCGTATCCCTCCTCTCTGTGCGATGATGGATCCACCGTCACCGCTGCCACCACCTCCTCCTCTGTCGGCCTAGCTTTCACGGCCCCATATGGATTTCCATCGCCTCCTCCAATATCGATCGCCAAACTGTGAACCAGGATTAATACGATAACATATAAAGCCGCTTTCATCATCACAGCTACTCAGCTAGCTAGTCCCCAACGAAACAAGCGTATCTATATTTAAAACTAACCTTTTTATCAATAACAAACTTGAGGTCAAGTATGAGTGTGAAGATTCACACGACAATATTTATAGCCCTCTACCGTATTTAGTATTCTATCTGTCCCAAACTAATACTCCCTGAAAAAAAGGATGACACCCCATCCCTCATTCCTGAGGGCTTCAACACCGTCCGGACATCACGATGGGAGGATGTAAGTTGGACTATAATCACAATCTGACAGATAGAGAGTGGGGCTCCGTCCCCGGTACTTGCAGAGGTCCTATACATTTTTCAGCATAGTAACTCCTTATCGCAGTTGCCGGGATTCGAACCCGAGACTTAACCCTTGTGGCACTCTCTCGCTACCAGTTGAGCTACGTCCACCGGTCCAAACTAATACTCCCTCCATCTATTAAAGTGGTGAAGTTAGTACGACAATCAAAAATTAAAGTTAGACAAAGTTTTACAGGATGGAGGGAGTACGACATTTTCTCATTTTATGTGTCATACTTTGAATTGACACAACTCCGGTACCTTTCTAAAATATGGGGTACCGTACCTATCATTTATTTGATTGGACCACATTACTTTATCATTTTTAATTTAGATTTAAATAATTCAACTGCTACATTCTCATTGGTACATGTGGACAAAGGTATGGTACCTTATGGGTATCATAGAATCTACCTTAATAATAAGTTATTTGAAAAACTAAAAGTTATTCTTGAGATCTGACTATAATAAAGAAAAATATAGTAAATCATGTACTTGTATTTCTTTTCGTGTGACACTTATTTTAAGACAATTCAAAATGAAAAGTAGGAGATAAAAATTTATTTATTCCATAAAATTCCATTAAATAGCCAATCTTGAATTTAAATACAATGACATTTTGATAATACTTAGTACTACTACGATATTAGAGATTGAATTGTGATTACTATTAAACAGTGAAGTGGAATTTGAATGAATACATATATATAACGCGTCTAATCGCCTGTATTGGTTGAAAACCCCACCTTAAATTTGAGGAAGTTGTCAAGTAAATGGATGCTGATTGATTAATGAAGCAACAAGTGGAGGTGTATCGATCAGTCGTACTGTTAATTGGTTTATTGGATCATTATATTATTTCCTTGTATAAGTGGTTTCATGATTTCATCCATCTTTCAGCGCGCTTTCATGGATCAAGTGAATAATAAATTGTGTAGTGAGAGACATATTATCTTTTCAGAGAAACTAACAAATAAATCCATCTATTTTTATCAAAAAAAATCAATTGAGTCTACATACCATAAACCGAATCAATCAAGTCCATGAAGTGTAAGAAAATAACCAAATCGACTATTTAATGGGTAATCAATTGGTTCTCCGGTTGACTGCCTACGTGGCTTATTTTTTACATTTTACATTTTTTCAGTTTCTCTAGGGGCGGATCCAGGAATGAGGAGTGGGGTGGGCTAAACAGTAAAAAAAAATGTTGCTTAGGGTTGTTATCCAATCGAGTTGTTTTCAAACTACTCGAGTTCGAAGGTGATTTCAAATTTAATTTAATGACCCAAGCTTAACGAGCTTTGAAATCAAACATGGGCTAGATTTTGAGATCGAATAGTTATTCAAGCCAAGTTTGAGCATAGTGATGTTCGGTTCAATCGAACTCGAGGCTATCGATAACTCATAAATTATAGGAATAAATTATATATATTTTAAAATTAAAATGTTTGTAGTGCGATTTTATAAATTTATTAATGGTTATTGAAGATTCTAGTATTTATTGGTAAGAATTAAAATACTTCTATTAAGTATAAAACTAATAAGTAAAAACAATCATTGTACATAAAACTACTAAGTATTCTCACTTCCAAAAGTGAGTTGAGATTTGTAATTGTTTCTTAGATGTCCAAACAATAAATAAATCATTCTCTAATCTTAAATTGTACACGTTAATTAATATTAACTCCCTTCAACACTTTGTCGATCCAGTTTTGGAAATAATACACAATAAATAACAGTCATAAAACAATAAATTAAAACATTAAAGTCTAAGAGTGTAATAAACTACTCCGTATTACGAAGTAGTACCTTCTTACCTCGAGGCTGGATCGGGAGAGTGGAGGCATTGGAATCAAATTCTTCAATTGCTCGATTCGGATAGGAGAGCTCAGAGCTCGGCGCGTGTCTTCATCTCTTCAAAAATCGCTCCCAGTTCGGCCGCATATGGAAAGCCGCAGATTTGGTAGGCTTGGATTGGAGTGGGTTGGACATAATTTTGGGATGGGCTGATAATTAAAGCTATACCTATATTAATAAAAATAAAAATAATTGGGCTGGGCTGAAGCCCACCCCTGCCTTAACTATGATCCGCCCCTGAGTTTCTCTATCATTTTTCGCTCTCTCTCTCTCTATCTGTTTTCTGTGTTCGGCTCCTTTCCCATTTCGGGCTTACACCGTCCGACCTGCCACCAACTCCTTTTCCCCCATTTGCTTTCTTCTTGCGCCCACCTGTTTCCGGTAAACTTCTCATCCCTCATTCTTTCTGATCTTCTTTCTTCTTCCACTTATCCAATCACCACAAAATTGCCACTTCTTTCCTCTAAAAAAAATTACCACTTCTTGTTTATGCTTCTAAGAAATTCGATATTGAGGCTTTTAATGTCGAGCGTTTGTTAATTGCACTGGCTTGAATTCTCTGAGCAAAGTTAAAGCCGGGCGCAGGAGTTAGGCGACGAGATTGGGTAGTTGTTGCAACGGCTTGGACACCGCATAGATATCACTGGGTGAATTGAAGAGGAAGTTGGGCGCTCAAGTAGCCATTCCCAACGTGGGGTTAAGTTCAGATCCAAAACCCATACTCTAGATGTGGCGGGCGAACAAGACTTGTGCTTTAATTGAGAGAAAAGTGTCAGTTCAGTACATCAATTCGTAAGCTGTGGAGTAAAGAGTACTTCATCATGCAAACGTGATGGTCCCGGATAAAGGTAAAAGTCTAGAGGGGGGGTGAATAGACTTTTAAAGCTTTTTCAACTTTAGAAACTTTTCCCTTCTAGATAGGAAGATCTATAATCTTTTGGGAGATTATAAATGCACAGCGGAAGTCTTGACCTCTTGTGTAAAGTTACTTTCTATATAGGTGAAGTTTTGGATCTTTTTAAGTGGGCAGTTGTCTGGGCAGTTGAGTGAACTGCAGGGAACTGCTAAGACAACTGCTATAGAGAATATGACTGTAAGAGAAATCTGATTGTGGGATCTTGCTAGGAATGATGAAAGCTTTCTGGATGTGTTCTGAGATGGGTTGAAATTCGAACCTTATGAGAGAAGTGGTCTCAGCAGTTGGGTGGTTACCAGGGAACTGCTGAGGCAACTGCTTAAGGAAAAATGAAAGTATGGGAAGACTGATTATATAATTTTGCTCAGAGTAATTAGAGCTTTCTGGAAATGTGTTGGGATGAATTGTAGTGGAAGTTTATGGGAGCAGTGGTCTTGGCAGTTGGGTGGTTATTTAGAAAACTGCTAAGGCACCTTCTGAGTAATAAGCTGATTCTCAGAAACCTGTTTGAACACACTTCTTTGTAATGATATTGTGAGGCTTTTGAGATATTAAGATGTCTTCAAAGAAAGTACGTAATTAAGCAGTAGGTTGAGCAGTAGTTTAAGGTGAAGCTACTGCTAAGGATGCTGCTGATAAACTACTTTTTTTAAAAGGAAGTGTTGGGTGTGTGTTTTGTTGACTGAAAGTGAATCAACACACAGTACCAATCTAGGTATTAAACCCAAAACACTTAGTGCCAATCTTGTCACGCCCCAGACCGCATCCGAGCGCGTGTACAACCGCCGTATGACTAAATGACGTCACTCGCAAGTCAACATGACTTAATCATACAAGGCGTCCATGAACATTGTTCATACCATACTCAGTAAGTAAACATACATAACAACATCACATTGGATTGAACGAATCGCGGAATTATTCAAAGTTCAACCATGGGCCACATATGGCCAAAACGTGGGCTCGCAGGCCCAAAACAAATGTACTTATTACAAAGTATCCATGAGCATAGTTTATAGTTTAAAAACGGTAAAGGAAGCACGAACCACGTCTCCCTTTAGATCACTTCACCGAGCAAGGTGAGAATAGCAAGCTTGAGCTTCAACCTGAAATGGTGGGGCCCCCCGAAGGGGTCAGTACAAGTACCGAGCGAGTAGCAGGCTAAATGTAGAATAACTAACGTTTTAAGTATAAGACCCAAACATAGGGTGATACATATACATATAGTTCTCCCCCCCCCCCCCCCCCCCAAGTTATAAAATATATATCATTATATATACACTTGGAAATACGTACCCGACCCGTAGGTCATTGCTTATTTGGGAAATAATGTAGCCGGTAACCTTGGCTTAAACCCTAACCCACCCATATACCTATGAGTGTATAGAACTCCTCCTGGTTCAAATCATCTTAACAAGAGGACACCGCCCGGTCCTAAATTACAAAAAATATAATTTATGAGTTTTGAGGATACACGCCCGATCCTTGGGTACTCCACCCTATAACCGAGTTTTGAGGATAACCGCCCGATCCTTGGGTACTCCACCCTATAACCGAGTTTTGAGGATACACGCCCGATCCTTGGGTACTCCACCCTATATAACCGAGTTTCGAGGATAACCGCCCGATCCTTGGGTACTCCACCCGACTTATGATCTACCACATATCATCCTAGATAAGGTCTATATCATAATCAATAATCAAGACTAAACCAAGTCTTAAGGCCTAAGCATAATCATCCATGCAATTCATGCATTAAAATCAACATATAGGCAAAACAGTGCCAAACCGGCGCCGGTTTTGACATAACCGGCGCCGGTTATTAATTAATTTAATAAAACCGGCCATGCCGATCCATAACCGGCGCCGGTTTTGCCTATAACCGGCGCCGGTTACCCCCTGGGCAACCAAGTCAACATTTTCGTTGACTCGCCATTTCAACCCCGATTTGCGTCAAACTTAATCCCAACATGTATTAAGTTATAACCAAGCATTTCATGCCCCTTTTATCCCTTAAAACATCATATATGTTTTTATAAA